TGGGCCCCAGCAATGAAGCTCCCTGAACAGTTGGGCTCTGCTCCCCTTTCCTGGCCCCATTCTGTGTGTATTACAAAACAAATAACCCATCGCTATACAATGTAAATATCTGTGACTGGGCAACTGTAGCAGACACTTGTGCATACTGAGATCAGCACTGGAGGAAAGGGTGGCAGGTTGGGCCCATCCTCCTGGGCTCCTCCGTTGTGGAGGTCCCTTACATCTCCTTGGTGTTCATTCTCTTGGTCTTCTCAGCTGTCTCCTAGAGAAGGAGAGCACAAAAGTGAAGCTCTGCGCTGACCAGGAGCTGGCAGTGCACTGAAGCCTTTAGTCCATCCACAAGCAGTGTCAACAGTGGCTTACACCTCAAAGCCTCACACCTGTATTTGTCCCCACAGACAGCAGAGATCCCCCTTATACCAGAAGCCTCTAAGTGACAGAAGCAGAGGGAACCCCTCTAGCAAGGAGAGACTTAGTGCAAGCAGACCTTCCCAGCCTCATGCTAACCTGATGCTTCTGCAGTTCCTGAATGTATCTAGCCAGCTCCTCCTCAGTCAAGTCTTGATCAGGTCGCTGTCTCTGAGCAGTCACCTTCTCATTCTTCCCTGCAAACGAAATGGAGTTTACCGTTATCACAACTAGGGGATGCAAATTTCAGAGGCTGGACCACGTAGAACAAAAAGAGGCAGGTTGGCCACAGCATACCCCAAGCCTTAGGAAGGCTTTGCTGAAGAAAGCCACGAGTTGGCTTCTTAGAAAGAGAATGGGCTAATGGGCTTTGTGGCTGCCTGGGACTTCAGTACCTGGGTATCCAGTCTGTCCCCATCTCTTCCTCCCGTAAATAATAAAACCATAACAAAGAGACTGAATATTGTTTAAAAGAAGCACCTATAATTAGTTCAAACATCTTGGTCTCTTGTAGGGAATAAATGGAGGGCAACTGCCACCCAAGCACAACTGATGCCTAATGAGGAGGTAATTTTGCTCAGTGAAGATGCAACTTGCTGATGTATCTGATCTGATTCTTTGATTTCATTATCCCTCTATTAACAGCCTCTAACCCCTCTGCTGCTCTGACATGGGCATAAAGTCAAGGAATTGTTGTTCCGTCGTATGCTTTCATCACGGATGCAGGGAACAAAGCAGGCATCAAGACCCGGTGTTGCACAGGAACCTTGAAGGTTTTTTCTATGGAGGCAACAAAAAGAGCCTCTCATTGAGTTACTTAACCTCTGAGACCTACCCATGGCTCCTCTGGCAGCTCTATTAGTACTAATTACAGTTTTCTTTTTGAGATGAGCTCCCAGTGCCACAGTCAAATCTGAGCTGAGGTGATCTGGAAGCCTCTACTGCAGAAGCCCAGATAATCATAAAAGAAACTGTACATACTTACTGCTGTTCCCCCCTCTCCTACTTTGCCCAAGCTACTGACTATAGGTCTGAACTAATGTACTGCTGACAGCTCCCACACAGCAATGAAAACAAAGCTCATGCAAAGGCCTGGTTCTAGGGAAGAAGGCCAGAAAAATGCAGCACAGTGCTGGGATGGTGGATGTGGCTCCTTGAAAGGACCTGGATATTTCCCAAGGCTTTACACTGGCCCTGAACCATCTGTGAGAAGGCAAAGCGACAGCTGTTGTTCACAACCCCTCAGTGACTTCTCCCAGTTGTAACATGGCTGTGAAAGTTTAAAGGATCTTCCAAAGGAAGAACAGACAAAGAATCCAGCCTTGCTACAAAATCACCTCCCTTCACTTCCATCACCATTATTTTCTTCTACAGTTTTTATGGCAAGAAGCTAAAGTGCTTTCTCAGCATTACTGGATGAAGTCTCCTATCTTCCCTTTGGCACAGGACAGGACGCCTAGCTCCTGCTCTACAGATACCATAAACACACATACAGTGAGGATACACAGGAAAGCTGACTTGCTCACACCTAGTTTGTATGGTTGCAGTGACCTGTTTGGTCTGTTTATGACCTAAGCCAGCTGGATGCAGAGCAGCTCTTGTCTGGAAGACTAGGGGCTGAATTTTTGCAACACCAAATCCAAACTACAAATGCCAGCAGCACTGCCCCCAAGCCAGTTACACACTTTCTGACCTCTAGAACAGAACCAGCTTGGGTTTGGCCAACATGCAGCATGGGAGGGTGATGCAGAAGCCACCCATAAAGAAGCTGAGGAAAAGTTGGAGAGAGAATAAATCTGGGTAGCTGGTGCTCTCAGAAAGATAAAAAGCAAAAATGCCTTTTGTATGAAACCAAACGCAGTGTGAGAGCATACGGACCCTCGCATGTCATCGCAGTGCACACCCAGTTCCCACAGGCACACACGCAGCGGTTGCACTCCACCTGGGTCTCTGCTCCATCCTCATAGGATTCATCTTCCAGGGCACACTCTAGAGAAACACAAAACAAGGGCAGTGGTTGTGAGATAGCAAGCACACTAAAGACAACATACTTTGGAGATGCCCTGAGAGAGAAAGGTATGAGGTTTTGGAGGAGGCTTTCATTTCCCTAACCACCAGAAGTTTCCTAACGATTAAAATATTCATGCAGAGTTTGGTGTGTGAAATCAGCCAAAAATAATTTGGGAAAGTCAAACAGTTCATTTTGCTTCTTCAAAAGAACACATTTCAATTTCTCAATTCCACGTGAAATCTCAGTATTGGATTTGTTTGAATTTCCTTATCTGTTATTATATAGAAAAGAGACCCCAAAGTGAAAGTTCTGGTTACTCTGAAAAAATTCCTGTTCCAGGTGGGCAGAAGCTGGGGAAATGATTTGTGTATTTGCTGTTGCCCTGAAAAGGAAGGAAAAAAATTACTTCTCATTTCAGCTCACATTTCTTCTCAAAGCCCTTCTGTATGTTTAAGCCAAGGCCCCAAAGCACTCAAGGGCCCGTATGGTGTTAAGTGAAAACCAGCTCGTGATTCTTTGTGGGGAGGTGCAGCATCCCTAGCTTGCCATTGAAATAGACAACACAGGGTTTGACTTAATGATCCCTAGGAAGCATAACCTCTCTCTGCTCTTCCTGCAGAGGAATTTAAATCTGGCACCTTTGGACCAGCACCCCCTGAGGAGACACTGAGACGAATGGCCAGGCATGCCTGGTCAGGTGCTTGCACATGAACTGTCATACTAAGCAGGATTGGGAAGGATAGTGAACTTTGAGATGTTCATCAGGGAGGCTCTCCGTGTGAGAGGCAGAACATAGCAGGACTTTAGTCTGGTCCAACTTTCCTAAGTTATCCAGACGTGAACTCCTCACGATTTATCTCCGCAGTATTAAACACATGCCTTGACCTTCCAAGCACACCATACCCATTTGACCTATGCCCTCACTTCTAAAATCCAAACCTTTTCCATCACAAGAGCTGTGGGAGCTCTGGGACAGAAAAAGCAGTAGGTTGGACAATGCAGGAACAAGGGTTGCTGTTTGATCAGAGATACGCATGTATCAACATTGCCTCTGGGAGCAGAATTCCAGCATCTGATGTTTGGCCCAAATCTGGTCTCTTTTCCTTCCTCCTCTCCCAGGACCCCCTGGTTCCCCAGTATAAGTGAGGCGTTCCTACTTTTCTCTGGTGGGTTGAAGGACGGGCTGAGGCACTTGAGAAATTCATTGAAGCTGAGCTTCCAGTCAGCATTTTCATCTGACAGCTCGATGAGGGCATCTACACAGAGTCCCCTGAAAGGAAACACAGAGGCATGTTTTGCACAGGGCTGGACTAGGCTGGTTCCTGCTCTACTGGCTTCAGTGTACAGACGAGTAAAACCAGGAAATACACGGGCTCTGAGGTGCCTGGCAGAAGTGGCTCTGCAAGGAAACCTCACTGGATACAGACAGAAGAAAAACAGTCACAAAATACTCTGCTGAAGGAATGGGAAGTGAGGGGATATTCAGAACAGCAATTGACATTGATGTGCTGTCACATGAGTAGAGATGCAAGCACAGCATAACCACAAGCAGCTTGTTCTCCTCATTGTCTCGCACACAGAAAAAGGCATGCACACAGAAAAAGGGAAGCCTCTCAAACTGCATTTTCATGTGATGTACCACCTCTAACTGCTGGCTGCCAATAAGTGGGTTTTCTTCCTTGCACTGAATCTAGCTATCAGGCAAAAGGTGAGTAAAGTCCACTGCAAGAGCAATTTACTAGGGAATAAAAAAGACAACAAATTTTCTGCCCCCGCTAACTCACCTTCTGGTTGCACACCTACCAGATTTAAGGTAGAAGAGTTGGAATATGTGCCTAACGTGAAGGGTAGGGGTGGGACTGCTCCTTTTGGTGGTATTCACACCTGATTAAGTGAAAAGCCACTTCATATGGTGTTATCTGTGTTAGTGCAAGCCCTAACTGATACGACCTTCCATAAGGGGATTTTCATGCCCCTTCTACCACGTCTGTCCCACTGGCCCTCCTGGCATCCTGACCTGAGCAGCTTGTTGGTCTCCTGGTCCATGTAGGTGGTGATGTTGATAGTGGTCTCATTCTGCTCCACAAACTTCAAGAATTCAGTGGAATCCAAGCGAGAATCACCATTGTCAAAGCTCTGTAGGGAACGA